GAAGTGTTTTCTCGCCCCCACTCTTTCCCCATTCATGTTTCGACACTGCCCTCGGGGAGGCTTGGTCCTGGTCTCAGTTTTAAGTTTTACTCGATTTTCCACAAATTCTCTTACTTTGTTCATTTTCGTCTCGTGTGCAAATCTTGCCTGTGGTTCTCTGGAGTGTTTTTGCGTTGTCATCATTTTTTAATTATCAGTTTTCGTGTTTCAAGTGCTGTCGTGAAAACAAAATAAAGACGCGATGTGTTGTGGCCGTAGAAATAAACGTGAGCAGGCACGGTGAGTAAGGTAATTCATTGTTTTAAATGTGCATTAATCAAAGGACAACGTTCAGATTGCTTCTTTGCTTAGTGTGCGACTGTTTTATGTGTGTCTCTTGTAAATTGTAACTCGAGTCTTGTCTAACGAGAACAGCGCCGTCGGCAGATATTGTGGGCGTGATAAACAATATTTCACAAAATTAGTTTGAGCAAAGGATGTCGCACTGTGTTTTCCTCGGCTTTGATCCACGCTCATCTCGTGATTGTACGTTGTTTCTTGGGGACATTCCGCTTGGTAATCTGCTCGCGATAGTACCGCGTCCTTATATTTCAAGACAATGAGACTACATCTTCCACTTGGACATTTAGGTAATATGTGGTGAAGATGGTCAGGCTTTTCTAGAGACTGGATAATAATTCCGAAGATAATATTGGTTTTGGGATCGTTTCCAAAACGCAGTTTTTATTTTACGGGCGTCTCCCATTCCGTGAAGCGTGTGTGGTCTGGTGTTTCGGCTGTTCTGGTGGTACGTGAGCTGCTGTTCTCTATACCTCCCGAGTGAGGCGCTCACGTTTGGCTGAGCCCGCCCTGGATTATCTTAGTCTGGTCTCAGAGACAGATGATGAAGGAAATGATGAGCTACGACTTTCCGGAAGTGTTTGAGGACGGAAGTTTCTCCGCCGGAAGCGAACGGGACACGTCGGCGACACCTCAGTTCCGGCGACGGAGCAGGGGAGGTAAGTCACGCACTTATACACACGTGTGCTTGAACACATACACACATGCACGCAAACAAAAACACACAGACACATACACTCACACACACACACACACACACACACACACACACTGGCACGAACGGAGAGAGAGGCAGAG